CAAGCCAAGCAGGCCCAAACCGCCTGTCAATTTGAATTGCTTTTCTAAAAATGTGAGCACAAATGTAAGAAAATACTGGAGAGCAAATAATAGAATTCTAGGTATGATAGAACATGTAGTATAGAAAACGTACACAAAATGCCTCCTAGCTAGTTCGCTTTTGTGGGCACACAAGTAGTAACAGCCAACAGCAAACCAAGAAATCTGTCAACTTTAATAAACTAAGAATTCTAAAATACAGCTTTTGATGAATATGTCTTCATAAGTTTATGGGCCAAATGAAAAAGTTCTGTTATATAGAATAAAAAATAAGGTGACTAACCAGTAGATCTTTCGAGTTCCTTTAAAACTGAAATATGGATTGGGAGGCATTGAGGATGATAAGGATCACTTTTAAGAACCCTAGAAAAGTTTTAGTAAGGCGCGGTATACCTTAGTGTTATCTCATAGCACTCTTGGAATTGGCATACATTGAGCATCCGTTCAGCAATTTGTACATATACATCAACGCTATTTTCGAGCTCAACAAACTTCATAGGAAATTCAAGGTTTCTAATATTTACACACTACAAATAATATATTATTGCGGCAAGAAACCTTCTCCAGTTGACTTTTATACAGAAAATTCGTCAGGTGTGATACATCAGGATCGCCAGCTACTGAGAAATTTAAATCTGAAAGCAACTCCAGCCCTAAACAATCTTATAAAATGGATAAGACAAACCCTGCTTCTGGGAAAGCATGTGAAACTGAACCAATTTTTCAAAAGCCTCATAACACATCACATCTAGCTGCAAAGCTTGTTTATAACATTGCATTGCCAGAGTCATATTCTCAAGGATTTCATGTATTTTTCCCTTTAACAAGGCAATGCTACTACATAGCTTTAAAGATAAAGTAAAATATATGTACGTTTTTTGCTTTTATATGCCCTAAAGATTCTCCAGCCGTAAATGTATCTATACAATAACAAAGTAAATTATTACAACCTTTAATAGCTGGCTGCCCGACTTTGCCCCCAAGTATTAAAGATCGAATATTAACGTTCGTCTGAAAGGGATGTTCAAACATAGGGTCTTCTAAAATTTGCAAGGCCTCAGTATATTCGAAACATGCAAAGTGACATTTCGCTATTAAATAATTATATGCCATAAGAAGCTGAAAGCATAAAGAGAGGAAATCATACATTTGGTTCTTTTTTGTTTACTAAAAGGGCAATTGCTCTATGATACTGGCCAGAGTTGTACAAAGCCTGTGCAAATAGAAGCACATCCTCAGGTTGCCCTAGATTAATAGAATTTGGTAGATTCACAACCTTCATTCAAGCATATGAGCTTCTCAGCCCAAAACGCAGCTGTAGGATATTGATGCTTAGAGATAAATTTATAAATAGCAGTACCAATTCTAGACAGGATAAGACATAATCCCGAATGGTGGCAAGAGTCATGTCACAGAGCTAAATAAATAGAAAGCGGCGGGTTAAATTACTTAATAGCCTAAACCCAAACATTAAAATAATTACACTTATAACATATAAATATTGTTTATTAAAGAGTTTATTTTCAGTACAAACATGCTGGAAGCGGCTTTCCGGATAATTGTTTGGCGCTGGTTCTGGTAATTCTTTCATTAGACCCGAAGTTTAGCCTGCCTTGGTAGTCTACTAGAATGAGTCTATTTTAAATTCTTAAATACTTGATATTATTTATTTATTTTATTAGCATTCTTATTTAGGGCGTTGCTATCCGTATATGTGACAAAAGCACTGGAATACCACTAGTGCGGAATGAGTCTGAACACAAAATGGCCATGTTCTATATGTACTTATGAAAATTGGCCTGTGGCTTTAAAATGTACGATATGTGGCTCATCACGACATTCGCGTAGGATTGAAGACGAAATGCAGGAACTTCATGTGTTACCTAATGATGGTTCATCACACAAACTTTCTCCCAGGCCCGAAGCCCACGATACTGGAATGTGGATATGCCCTCAGTGTACTTATCGTAATTGGCCAAAAGCCAGAAAATGTGTCCAATGCTTATGCGCTTCTCCATTTCCATTAGAAACTGAGCCACCACCTTCTAAGCGTCATCATTTACCAGTACATCCATCTTCGATGATTGACAAGTGGCCCTGTACAGTATGCACATATGAAAACTGGCCTAAAACTCGAAAATGTATCATGTGCCATTCATTCAGGCCAATAAGCTCTCCATCCATTGCTGAAGAAGTACATGTTGATTATGGCAATGATTGCAATGCAGCTATTCCTGCGAACTCATTGAGGAGACGCAAAGGCCCGTCCCAAGGCACATTACGTGATGGTCTTTGGCTTGACGCCTGCCGGGCCGTTTTGGAAGGCGAATTTGGCCCAATAGAGCGTTATTTTGCCTCTGGTGGACGTTTAGATCGGAGATTATCTAAGCAGGTTCGTTTTTTATATACTTTTGGATACTCGGAAGATATACGTATATTTTTTGGGTGTGAATTCACCTTCCTTTAAACATGTACTTTATATACTTTTCTTTTCTATACCTTAACCTTTTATATATCATAGCCCAGTTGCGCGTTCACTAAAAT